ATATCCTGTGGTGCCACACCAGAACCCCATAGGAAAGCCTGTGGGGCAGTTCTGCTCTGTCACATTGGGTTGTTATGAGTCAAAATTAACTGGATGGATCCTAACAACAGCAGCAGGCCCACACAGAGCCCTAAATCCAAGTGAAAGTGGCCAGGCAAGATTGTTGTGGGCCAATCGAAGGGCAGCTGAGAGGTTAGGAGCTGCCTCCACTGAGCCTGTTGATTGTCTCCCCTGTGGATTAAAGGCAAACCTTCCTTAACAAGCACCTTGAGTGGCTTGGGTTTCCAGAAGTCTCCAGGACCAGTAATTAACCCAGCTGGTAATGAGAGCGCTGGGGCTGAATTCTGGAAAGGAACCATTTAACTCTGACTGTACTGGACAGTTGGTTTTCCTTAATACCAGTCTCTTTAGCCTTTGCACTATTTTTCTGGGAAAGGCATAAAGTACGTTGGTGCAAACTTGCCTTTTTTTTTTTTACGCAAACTTAATTATCTTTATATATTTAAAAGCAAATGATGAACTTAATTTCCAAAATGTGCAGACCTGAAAACTGATTTTTTTTGTTTTTTTTTAAAGAAGATGCTTTTGACTTCTCTTTTTGAAGTAGGGGTAATGGTACACAGGTGATCATTAGCAGTTGACAAAGCTAAGATCTGTGTATCAGTTAGAACCTCTACACCAGCAATTGAGTTCACTGTGGTTCTGTTTTTTAACTTGAAGGGCTTTCTGCCTGTTTGCTATTGCCATTACTTCTGTCTATCATCAGCCTGTAGTGTTTCTTCCTAGGAGTGTGGAACCTTTCACATCCAGAGGTTTCTAGTCCGTAAAAGGTCTTTGCGAGGTTTCCTACTTCTCTCCTTTCTCTAATTATGGTTGCCCTTGAGACACACTCATTGATGATTCCATTAGTAATCTGCATGTACATTTTAAATGCGCAAGGATACAGCTGAACAAGCCACTTAAACAACCTATCCATAGGCAATGGATTGGTAACAGCTTGCTTCCTCAAAGGCAAGAACTTGGTCCACATGATCATTTTGGCTTCTTCTTCAATCTAACACTCATTATTTCTCATCATCAATAGCAGATTCAGGATTACAACAATTGGATTAGAGTCCTTATTTGTTTTATATTTAGAATCACTGTATTTTATTTTATGATTTGGAGAGTAGCTGGTTAAAGGATATTTTCTCCTCTAAAAACTCACATTGAGTAATCACTTGCCAAATAGCTATCATGCACCTGCTGTGGGCAATACATGGTCCCTAATAAAGCTTGCATGAACTAACGGGAGCATTAGACAGTATGTAATTTAAGCTCTAAATGTTGTGGTAAAAACTTTGAGATGCTGTAGGAATTGCTGAGAAAAGGGTGACGACCGAAGTAATCAGAATAAAGTGCTACTGTGTATATGCCTTCTATCTGTAAGCCTCTTGACTAACTGTTTAATGGGCAGGCATGTTTACTACCAGTTTGCAGAGAAGAAAGTTGAGATTCAGAGAGAGAGAGATGGGATTCAGAGTCAACTCGAAACCTAGAGATCGTGTTCCTGTGGTTGTACAGACTAAGAGGTGACCAAGAGTAGCAGTCAGGCTGTGTTTCATGAAGAATGTACGACTTGCTGGGCATTAAGGAAAGAGTGGTGGCATTTGAATAGTAGCATGAGAAAGTAAACAAGGAAGGGGAACAGATCACTGCAGGGCACTGAGACAGGAATGTGCTCACACTTCCTCAGATGGTGCAGGCTTGCCGAACGAGACCCAAAGCTGCCTGGTAGGAATTCATGGGAGCTGAACATAGGGTGAGGCCATGTGGTGGGCTGGGAAAGCTGGACAGGAGGCTAGTTCCGTAACTGGCAGATAAAAACCATTTGAAGGTTTCTGAGCATGGGAGTCATGTTGCATTTAAGAAAGCCTAGGAGCTCTGGTAGCGTAGTGGTTATGAATCGGGCTGCTAACCTCACAGTCAGCAGTTCGAAACTACCAGCTGTTCCGCGGGAGAAAGATGAGGCTTTCTGCTCCTGTAAAGATTTACAGCCTCGGAAACCCTGTACAGGGTTGCTATGAGTCGGAACCGACTCCACGGCACACAACAACAACATCAGAGCTTGGAGTTTGCAAGACAGGCCACTAGAAGGAAGAGGGTCCACTAGCAATCCCAGCCTTGGACTTGGAGCAGGGCTGGAGATGATGGGGCGGACGCCACAGACAGCCAAAGTAGAAAGAATTGGACTTGCAAAGAGTGCTAGATAGGTGTGGATAATTTGAGATCTGAAACTTGGGTGATAGGAAGGAGAGTGGGCTTCTTGTGGCAAAGACAAAGCAGTTGAGAAGACAAGGGTTTGGGGAAGAATATGGTGAGAATTTAAGCCAGGAGGCTGATGCTTTGTCCACATTTCCAGTAACGAAGCAGTTACTGAAGCTCAGCAGAAAGCCTGGTGTGACCAGTCAAAGCAAGGGTGAAGATGAAAGGTGTCCACAGCCAGGTGCCTGAGTGACCCAGAACTGAGGAGAGATGGGAACTATTGTGCAAATAGGAGAAAGGGTGGAAATGAGAGCTCCGGGGTTCCAAGTGAGACCCGAGCAGACCCTGTCAGCCTGGGGCTCTCCGAGCCAGCTCTTTCTGGATGCTTTCAAGATATTTAGCCCACCGCCTTCCATTTTCTCCAGATTCTCCTAGGTATGAATACTTTTGAGATTGTTAAAAGAATAGGAAGCTTATCAACATTTGTACCATCAGTTTATGTATTTGAGAAAGCCATCGCTTTTTATGAAGAGACAAGTATGCATGGGATTAATCCTTTTCCTTTTCTGTATGTCTGAGTCTGGAAAACGATACTCCAGAAAAACCAGGATAGAGGATAAAATGACTTTGAGATGTTCTTTCTTAAAATTACTGAAGGAGTGACCACACGAGCCCACTGATAGCTGCTGCCGCTGCCTGCCGCAGAGCTGAGTGTCTGGAGTGTATTGTGTCATGTCCTGGAGGAAGGCGAGGTGAAGCAGCAAAGAATCAACCTGTAAATACTGTTGGCCAGAGTCATCTTTCATAGGTGAACAGGCTGCTGCAGACTCGGGATGTCCTACTATGTAACAACTTAGTGGTGTGGCACTGCTGTGGGTTAATGCGCCAGACTGCAAAGACGTTTGAACTGTAAGGTTGGCGGTTCAAGCTCACCAGCTGCTCCTCGGAAACCCTACACAGGGTCGCTATGGGTCAGAGGCAACTCAATGGCAGAGTACTTGACATGCAGGGTTTTCAATATAAAAAATTCTCCCATCCCTATTTTCTAGTTAAAACTTCAATATTTCCCCACTACTGGCCAGCCGCGCTGCTGGATGTGTGTATGTGTGTGGTGTGTGTGTGTGTGTGTGTGTGTGTGTTTGCAGGGATGGGGCTGGGGGGGTGTAAGAAGATGCTGCCTGCTCTGGTAAAGGTTCGCAGTCTTAGAAATCCTATACAGAGCCACTGTGGGTCAGAATTGACTTTGTGGCATTGAAATTGGTTTGTTTTTGTTTTTTCTCATTTCTGTGTTTTTTGTTTTTTTCTTTTTTCTATTTTACAGTGTGGCACCGTAGGTTAATGCACTAGACTGCAATGTTGGTTTCATCCACAAGGTTGGTAGTTCACACTTACCAGCTGCTCCTTGGAAACCCTATACAGGGTTGCTATGAGTCAGATCCAATTTGACGGCACTTAAACACCCACCAATTCGTGCCCTGAATCAGCCACGTTGCTGAGCTACCCTCTCTCTTTGATCTTAAGTTGTGGAGCCCTGTGTCCTTAGTTGGAGGCAAGCCCTGAGTCAGGGGTGGGAGAAATGGTGGGGTGCTGAGTCAATTCCAATCCTTAGGACAGAGTAGAATTGCTTCCGAGGGCTCCCAAGGCTGGCAACTTTATGGAAGCGAACTGCCACCTCTTTTTCTCAAAGAGCAGCTGGGGGGTTCACATTGCCCACCTTTTAGTTAGCAGCCAGGCACCACTAGGGGGTCTTGTTTCAAGATTTGTTGTTGTTAAAGTGCCGTCAAATCCGTTCCAACTTATCGCGACCATGCATAGGGTTTCCAAGGAGCAGCTGGTAGGTTTGAACCGCCGAACTTGTAGGTAGCAATCCAGTGCTCATCCTACAGCACCAGGACTTGGTAAAGGACTTCCCTTGTCAACAATTAAGACTGTGAACAAAGTTAACCCTCCACACTTGTGCACACACAGTCATTACAGTGCCAGAAGATAGAGAATGGCAGTTGTCTCTGTGGTGTGGAACCTGTTTGGTGGGGATTTGATTTGTAAAACAAATCTGAATGAAGTCCATAATGTACTTCACTGGTTTTGTCCGTCACAGCCAGGGACATACTGGAGACTTCAAAAAGCATTTGAGTCATCTTCCACGTTGCTTAAGATCATATGCTTCATAACTTCTGTCGGTCACAGCCAGGGACATGCTGGACATTTCAACAAGAGTTTGACTTGTCTTCCCCATTGCTTAAATAAAAAACCTATTTGTTTTTAAATATGTTGCAATTGACCACCGTACTATATGGTCTTAATGGTAGTAGTTTTCCATTTGATTGATTGATTGGGACTCTCCAGATATAGTCCTGTCCTCTACACACAATGATGATAACTTTGCTACTCCTTTCTCTTACATGATTGCATTGGCTGATACCTCCAGAACAATGTTGAAAATACCTTGACTTTAATATATTAAATGGATAGAAACTATAGAAGGAAAAAAAGCTACAGTACTCATAGTATCTTAGGCAGAAATCAGACTTGGTCTTACAAGAACAAGCTATACTTTATCATTATGTGTCTAAATCTCAGTCATCCATGGAGCTACAGTAACTTATGGAAAATAATGGCCTCTCATCTGTCACATTTGGAGTTCGCCAGGACTCTCCAAGAAAGCTTTTTGTTTCATCGTTTTGGGATTTTCTCGGGGACTTAAACAGATCCTAGACGTCTTTCGTGACTACTGATGCCTGCACTCTGTCTTCCAGGCACAGCTTCGGGCATTTATCCCAGAGATGCTCAAGTACTCCACAGGTCGTGGGAAGCCAGGCTGGGGAAAAGAAAGCTGCAAGCCCATCTGGTGGCCTGAAGATATCCCATGGGCAAATGTCCGGAGCGATGTCCGCACAGAAGAGCAAAAACAGAGGGTGAGAGTTGCCTGTTGCTTTTTCATTCCATATCCACCACCTCAACTTTTGTCATTTCTGCTGCTTATGCTAAGAAATCTTTTAAAAATCTGTGCACAATAGTAGAAAGATACTTAGAATTCATCACTCTGTGATTATGAAGAGAAGAATTGGGTGGTGGGTCCAGGAATTTACATGTCTCTCCACAGTTGCCTTTTGGAGCCATTTTAATTTTATGAAATGGTGGAGTAAACCAGAATAAACTAGATGTAAAAGTGTTAATCATTTTGATCAAAGATTTAGGGTCACTGTTGAAAAATATAAACATCATGGGATTGGAGAAATATGAAGTCTATTAAGTGAGTTTCCTGATAAACTTCTTTGCAAAAGCAAAGATAAAGCTAGACTTTATTCCTTCCTTATTTTCACGTTTGTTTTCTATTGAGCTTGGGTGTATATGGAAGATCTTTTTATAAAATTCTTGACCAGAGTAACTTCTGTGAAAAGTTTAGTTTGGCCTTGACGTGGAATAGTGTTTAAAGCCTAAAAGATGAATCAGACTTCGATTGGGAAGGAAACTGGTAGAAAACCTTCTACTTGGTGAGTTTCTTTGTGCTAGAATTGGTCTGTAGAAAATAATCCTAAAAGCTTATTCTTTCCTAGGTTTGGTTTAGTTTGATAAATCAGCAACTGCTTACTCCATTGCAGAACTAAACAGCCAAAGTTCTTTGTAGTGTAATGTACTTTTCTGCTGTCTTGGTGGCAGGTTTCATGGACCCAGGCCCTACGGACCATAGTTAAAAACTGCTATAAGCACCATGGGCGGGAGGACCTTTTGTATGCTTTTGAAGATCAGCAAACACAGACGCAAGCCACAACCACACACAGTATAGCCCACCTGGTTCCATCACAGACTGTCGTGCAGACCTTTAGTAACCCCGATGGCACTGTCTCACTCATCCAGGTGAGTGTCTGAAATGGGCCTGTCAGCATCTCAGACCCAAGGAAATCGTCTCTGCCCAAGTCCTTGTATGAACTTGATGTAACTCTCTAAGGTTCTTCTACCTGAAGATGACGTCTGAAGAGTATTTTAAACAGCTTGCATTTGCCAAATAGCTTTTGCACAAGAAGAAAGAGCTAGCACTTTACAATGGCTTCTTGTGTGCCTTTCCACTCTGTCGGTGGCCAGGGAATATTTTTCGTGAGGTAAAACACAATGTATTGATGGCTGGGGTGAGAGGAGAAAGTCGGCTGTCTGACTCTGGGGACTGTGATGCACCATCATGGCCTGTCTAACATTGATTTATGTGGTTGAAGGAAAATTGATGCTCCTATTATTCTCTGCGATAAGATTTTAGTAGCTTGTTTCACGGGGTATTTTAATTGTTCCCTGTGCTAAATTTGTAGTTAAACAAATCTTAACTTCTGAATGACACATCACTTCCCCTATTTTTCTTTAGGTTGGTACAGGGGCAACAGTAGCCACATTGGCTGATGCTTCAGAATTGCCAACTACAGTCACTGTTGCCCAGGTGAATTACTCTGCTGTGGCCGATGGCGAGGTAAGAACAAGGGTTCCATCTGATCTGTTGCACACTCACATCACTGTATAGGCGAGGGGCAATGGGTGAAGAGGTTGTCAGCCGTCTGTCTACATGTCTGTGGTATTTATTTGATTCTGGCATTTCTGATAACAGACCATGACCGTTTTGTTAAGAATGTTTTGTTGTTGTTGTTGTTGTTGTTGTTGTTGGTACATGCTGTCAACTCAGTTCTGACTCATATATAGGGATTCAAAGAGCAGTTAGTGGGTTTGAACCACCAACTTTGTAGTTTGCAGTCCATTGGTTATCTACAACTTCACACCAGGCCTGTTATATTGTATATTGTAACAAGTAAAATTCATAGATTGTTATAGTTCAAGCCTAACTGCAAGAATTTACGTTACATTTGTAATAGCGCATCTTGTACAATATACAATGAAGACAGTTTATACATTCAGCATTTCTATGCAATTTTAAAATTTCTGGCTTAATCAAAGTTGTTATCAACTGTATTTTCTTACTGAATGTTCCCTATTTTGTTTAAGAAAGTAACTGCACTTCATAAACCTTTTTCTGGGGACAAATTCAATGAAAACCATTTTACTTAATAAATTCTCATATACACAGTTAATCGGCTTATTCAAAAATCCATGAAAAGTATGATGAACTTAGTCTCTCATTCACTGCCGTCAAATCAATTCTGACTCATATTTAGTTACCCTCTGGTGGTGGTGGTGGTAGTTATGTGCTGTTGAGTTGGTTCCAACCTATAGTGGCCCTGTATAGGGGTTCTGAGGAGCTGCTGATGAACTTGAAATGCTAATCTTACGGTTCAAACTAACTTTGTAGTCCAGCACATTAACCTGCAGCGCCACACCAGGACTCCTGGTTACCCTATAGAGCTCTACAGATAGGGTTTCTGAGACGAAATCTGTACAGGAGCAGAGACAGCCTCATCTTCCCATTCATAGTGTGGCTGGTGGGTTCAAACTGCTGACCTTGCAGTTAGGAGCCCAATGCTTAACTCACTGTGCCACCTGGGGTCCTTAAAGGACTTATTCCCTCTACCATCCACTGCCATCAAGTCGATTCTGATGCATAGGGACCCTATACAGGGTTTCCCACACTGTCTGCTACAGGGCCACTAGCACTCCTTTGAAGGGTGCATTAAGAAAGCATCAGTTGGTCACTTATCTATGGCTTTGTGTTATTTTAACCATTTTTGAGGCATATTTAAATTTTTAATAGCCTTTTGGTAAATGCTCATCTCAGATTTGAACAAACTAAATCTTTTCACACAGTGGAACAATAGTGAGGTCATGAAGAGAGCCTCAGAAAGCTGTACAGGTTAGACTGTAGAAAGTCTGTTTGCCAGTGGTGTGGACAGAGTGCTTGGTTTTGAACTCTAATAACGGTGTTTACTCAAACATCGCACTGACAACAATGCTAGCTAGCATGACTCAGTAGTCCATCCTACTTTCTGTATTCGTCTTTTTCCTTGAAAATAAATGGTGTCTTTAGAGGCTGTAAGGTTGTTATCCTTATCTTACAGTGTGAGAGCTCTGACCCATTGGACCGTATCACCTTCAGTGTCCAGTATCATTTAGTTAAATTTCTGAGGAGGACCTTTGGGATCCTGTCTCTTTTGGTGATAAAATCTCTTTGTGCCGAGGATACCTAATGAACTGAGTAGTATTATAAAAAAAAAAAAAACTCTAGCTTTCACTAGGTAAATACTAGTTAGGGACACAGCACAAGCTACATAGATATTTACAACTAAACATGAAAAGAATTCCAAAATAACATGGAATGTTCTATATATTAATTAACAAGGATGTCAAAAAGTATTGCCACAAAATCATGTTGTTGTGAGGTACTGTTGAGTTGGTTCCAACTCATAGCGATCATATGCACAACAGAATGAAACACTTCTGGTCTTAGCCATCTTCACAGTTGCTTGAACCCATTGATGCTGCAACTGCTATAGTGTGTCTTGTTGGGGGGTGCGGGGTCTTCCTCTTTTTCACTGACTGAGCATGATGCCCTTCTCCCGGGATTGATCCCTCCAGGGAGCATGTCCAAAGAGTGAGGAACAAAGCCTAACCATCATCCTCATTTCTAAGAAACGTTATGGCTATACTTTTCCAAGTTAAATTTGTTTGTCCTTCTGGCAGTCCATGGTGCTTTCAGTATTCTTTGTGAATGCTATGATTCAAATTCATTGATTCTTCTGTGGCTTGGGTCAGGGGCACCTTAGCTTTCAAAGTAGCATCTTTGCTTTTTAACATTTTAAAGTGGTCTTGTGCAGCAGATTTACCTAATACAGTACGCCATTTGATTTCTTGACTGCTTCTTCCATGAATGTTGATTATGGATCCACGAAAAATGAAGTCTTTGACAGTATCAACCTTTTCTCCATTTATCATGATGTTATTTATTGGTCCAGCTGTGAGGATTTTTTTTTTCTTTACATTGAGTTACAATCCATACTGAAGGCTATAGTCTTTCAGCACTAAATATTGTAAGTTCCTGTTTGCTTCCAGAGAACAAGGTTGTATCAGCTGCATATCACAGGTAGTTAATGAATCTTCCCCCAATCCAGATGCCACATGCTTCATATTATTGAGCCTTTTCAGCTTATTTGCTCCGCATACAGATTGAATAAGTATGGAGAAAGGATACAACTCGGTCACACTATGCATTATCCCTTTGTTCTGTTGGCGTAATAAGATTAAAGCAACAAAACTTTGGGGAAACAAGAGTTTTGTGAGTCCTTGAGTTTGTGACTTTGTAGCTCTATAGAAAGGAAATGAAGTATCTGTAGTCACAGATCCTGCAGGCTACTGGCACTTTCCACTGCCCATGAGAAAGACAAATAATAAAGGGACGCAAAAGAATCTCTCAATCACTTTCTATACGTACAAGAATTAATTGATGCTTTTGAGTTATGGTGTTGGAGGATAATATTGAAAGTGCCGTGGGCTGCCAAAAGAACCAATAGATCTGTTTTGGAATAAATACAGACAGAGTGTTCCTTGGAGGCCAAGATGGCCAAACTTCGTCTCTCCTACTTCGGACATATTGTCAGGAGGGACCAGTCGCTGGAAAAGGATATCATGTTTGGTAAAGTAGAGGGTCAGAGAAAAAGAGGAAGATCCCCAACGAGATGGATTGGCAAAGTGGCAGCATCAGTGGACTCAAGCGTGGCAACAATTGTAACATTGGCCCAGGATCGGGCAGTGTTTCGTTCTGCAGTGCATAAGGTCGCTTTGAGTTGGTACTGACTCGATGGTACCTAGCAACAACAACAATATGCAGATGACACAACCTTCCTTGCTGGCAAGAAAAAGGACTTAAAATACTCATTGATGAAGATTAAAAACTACAGTCATCAGTATGGATTGCACCACAATGTAAAGAAACGAAAATCATACCAATGAACCAGTAAATAACATCATGATAAATGGAGAAAAGGTTGAAGTTTTCAAAGACTTAATTTTTCAAGAGCAAAGATGTCACTATCAGGACTAAGGTGGTACCTGACCCACATCATAGTATTTTCAGTCACTTCATATGCATGTGAACATTGAACAATGAGTAAGGAAGACCATAGAAGAACCGATGCAGTTAAATTATGGTTTTGGAGGAGAATATTGATACCGTTGGCTGCCAGACAACAAATAAGTCTGTCTTGGAAGAAATATAGCCAGAATATTCCTTCAAAGCAAAAAATGGTGAGATTTTTGTCTCTCCTACTTTGAACATGTTCTCAGAAGGAACCAGTTGCTGGAGAAGGACATCTTACTTTTGATAGAGTAGAGGGTCGGAACCGACTCGAAGGCACTTAACAACAACAACAACAACAAGAGGATCAGCAAAATGGATTGCTTCAGTGGCAGCAACAATGGACTCCAACTTAACAATTGTGAGGAGGGTGCAGGACCAGGCACGGGTTTGTTCTGTTGTACATGGGTAACTATGAGTTGTAATCCACTCAGCTGTACTTCACAATAGTGGGGAAAACCAGGTATTAAAACTATATAGAATATGATAGTGTTTTCAGTTTTTTAAATGGGATAATCGGAAAGGTGAACTGGGGATGTGTATGTGTGTCTGCAAATATGCTTGTATATGAATACAGTATCTCTACAAAGATAGAAATAGGTAACAGTAGCTGTCTTTAGCAAAGGGTCTGGGGTACTAGCATTGTATTTTCTTTAGTATAGTTTGGTTTTGTTTTTATGATTATTTGTTGTTAGATGCCATTGAGTCGGTACCAACTCATAGCGACCTTATGCACAGCGGAATGAAACACTGCCTGGTCCTTCAGCAACTGGCCCTTCCTGACAGTATGTCTGAAATATGAGAGACGAAGTTTGGCCATCATGGCCTCCAAGGAGCACTCTGGCTGCACTTCTTACAACACCATAACTCAAAAGCATCAATTCTTCTACAGTCTTCCTTATTCACTGTCCAGCTTTCACATGCATATGAAGTTATTGAAAATACCATGGCTTGGGTCTGGTGCACCTTAGTCCTCAAGCTGACATCTTTGCTCTTCAACACTTAAAAAAGGTCTTGTGCAACAGATTTGCTTAACACAGTACGTCATTTGATTTCTTGACTGATGCTTCCATGAGTGTTGATAGTTGATCGAAGAACAATGAAGTCCTTGACAACTTTAATTTGCTGTATCCATTCTTAACAAAATTAATTAACAGGGAGAAGTATATGGTGGGGAAGAACATAGACAATGGAAAGTCTTCCTTCCTGTCACCATCCAAGTTGTTCCCACAATTTCCTCACCACATACTTTCAGTGGTTTATGTGTCCTTCTAGAAGTTCTTTATACAAATATAAGCAAATACAAGTAAATATTTTATACCCCTTCCTTTCTGACACACAAGATAGCATACTAAAGTCTCTTCTGGACATTGTGTTGGTGGTGGTGGTGTTAAAGTGTTGTCAAGTTGGTCCCAACTCATAATGATGCTGTGTAGGGTTTCCGAGGAGCGGCTGGTCACTTAGAACCTCCAGTGCTTACCCTACAGCGCTGTACTAGGACTCCTCTGTACATTATGTTGTTGTTGTTGTTGTTGTTAAGTGCTGTCGAGTTGATTCCGATCCATAACGAACCTGTACAGCGTTTCCGAGGAGCAGCTAGTGAGCTTGAACCACCGACCTTGCAGTTCAAACTGTTGTGCAGTCTGTTGCATTAAACCGCAGCACCACACCAGGACTCCTCTGAACATTATAGGTCATGTAAATTTAAAAGTGAGTGTGGGATGTGTGCGCATTTTGCCACGCACATGACAATTTATTAGAAAAGTGATTTTTTTTCAAAACCTCACAGTCCTTCTGTGGCTTTGAATTTTTACCATCTTTTCTTTTCTGTCTCAGGTGGAACAAAATTGGGCCACGTTACAGGGAGGTGAGATGACCATCCAGACAACGCAAGCGTCGGAGGCCACTCAGGCGGTGGCATCGTTAGCAGAGGCTGCGGTAGCAGCTTCCCAGGAGATGCAGCAGGGAGCTACGGTCACCATGGCGCTCAACAGGTAGAGGCAGGGCTGGGAGAGTGAAGAGGATAGCCTGATTGTTGTTTAATAGCCCATCCATTGCTGTCAAACCCCAATTCCCAATCAGGGACCCTAGAGGACAGGGTTTCCAAGGCTGTAAATGTTAACGGAAACGACTGTCAACACCCTTGTCTCGGAGTGGCTGGTGTGTTAAATTAACTATACTCAAGTCACCCTTTAACCAACCCAGCCTTTCTGATCTCCACCCCAAGCTTACTGATGGACCCTTCACTTAATCCCATTCGGGCACAAAGTGACAAGACTTGCATTTTTACCAAACTGTGGGCCACTCTTTTAAAGTGACCTGAGTTTATTTAAAGTTTAACTTAAAAGCTTCAGGGTTATCATTTTTTTGCCTACAAAGGACACTGCTTTTCTTGTCCCTGGGGTTATTCAGCCATGCTTAAACTTATTAAGAGCTGATTTCACAGGCTTTCCAGGAAATTGATTTCCCTTGCTCATGAATGACTGCAATATGAAATTAGTTTTGAATTATTGGGAAAATAATGGAATCTTTTTCCTTCAGCCTTAGTTAGCAGAATGGGGTAGTATGGTAAGAGGTCATTTCGCAAACTACGATGTATTTTTCCCTGCTCACTTCTTCCCATTGGTTGTTGACAAGAGTTGAAAAGATATCATTCTTAATCTTCTGTCATGATTTTATTTTTAATGGATGCAGACATTTTAAGTATAGATATAAGAGTATGGGCTTTAGGGCCAGATAACCTGGGTTTGAATCTTGGCTGTGACACTTACTAGCTAGCGCTCTATAACCTTGGACAATTGACTTAACACTCAACACCCAGCTTTCCTCTTCTGTAATCGCAGCGCTGGCCTTGTTGAGGGTGTTGGCAAAAACAGGATTGCAGGTCAGTGTCTGACAGATAGCAAAGGTGAGCTGCCGCCACCGCTTTTACCCACAATAGCTAGTTACTGAATTTATGCTAGTAAGTAAGATCTAATCTCTGCTTTCAAAGAAATCATACTTTTATTAGAGGACTGATTTTAAGTAAAACATTTTGCCAGCAGTATTACTCAGTGTAATTCACTGTTGAATTATGTTCGCACAGACTACGCACATTGTAGTAATTCACAAGGGGTGATCACCTCCCCAAAATTTTAAACTTAATTCCAGTTGAGGTTGGATGTGATATTTACGAACAAGCTTCTGATGGTCACAGAGAAGAGGGTTCTGAGGTCATGTAGCCTCAGGTTGGAATCCTAGTTCCACCATTTATCTAGCCAGTTAATCTTGAGAAAATTAAGCCCTGAGCCTCATTTTGATGAGCGAATACTTACCACAGAGAATTGAAAGGATTCCTGAGATGATATGGATAAAAAAACTCTTCTCAAAGTGCCCCATTAGAATAAACAAATTATAGTTACCATCACTCAACTGCTGTTTTAAGATTAGTCTATTCAGAAGTGATTACAGTGAGATCTTGGAAATAGGAGACCCATTGTTGTTGCTAAGTGCCATTGAGTCAGTGCTGAGTCAAAGCCACTCTGTATAGAGTTTCCGAGGAGCAGCTGGTGGGTTTGAACTGCCGACCTTGTGGTTTGCAGTCTAGTGTTGCTCCTACAGCACCACACCAGGAGTCCATTAGGAAGGGGGGGGAATCCAGGCATGCCTTGGAAAATAAAATAGTGAAAATGGTGGGAAAGTGACTGATATTGAAGGAAGTCTGGCCAGGAATTGGTGGATTAAATACAGAAAACTGAAACGCACGCACAGTTACCCAGCAAGTGACCTGGGCCATTGAACCATGCTACTTTTCTGTAACATGAAAGTCTTACTTGGTTCCCACTCCTTCCTTTGAGCAGAAACACCCAGATAAACTTCCTGAAGGGCATGACCAGAGTAGAACCTGGTCTGATCACCCCACTGTAGCTTGGGGCCCATGGAGCCACCATGAAAGACCAGCAGAACTCAATCTCCATGAGGTTTCCAGCCAGTCCCCTGGATGTTCCAGTGGAGTATCGGTGTCCTGGGGACCCTGAACATAGTGGAAAATATGAGGCGCATCGGGCTCCCTTTGATAGGAGGGCCAGGGCTGATTTCCAAAGGCAAGGAGGGTAATGGTTTCCCCGGAGGGCTTGTTAGCAAACTCTAAAGCAGCTGAGGTGGCTCCAGTGTTTACTCCAAAGGAAGGAGGATGTGGTGTGGCGTGGAGAGCAGGAGTAAGGAGATGTTGAAATCTGTTTGCAATCAGTCAGTCCAACTCCTAGTGAGTGTCGGGGGAGGGGGTTGAAGAACCCCATCCTGTCTGGGAAGGGTCCAGAGACGAGACTGACAGGCCTTCTGACTTCTGAGAGGTCCCCCGCTGTCTGATGTTCTAGTCAGGAAACATTGCTTCCGTGTAGGGTGAGGCACACCATTATCCCCCCTGCGCCCCCAGACTCTCCACAGCATGTGTTGTTGAAAGTCAGCTTAAGGAACCACAGCAAGCTGGTCCTTGTTCCTATGGTAACAATGTGATTCCCTAGCTTGGCCTGTGTAGCCTGCCTCAGTCACAGGTACAGGTGGAGCAAGCCTGTAATCACCTGTAAACAGCAGGTGTCAGTGGAAGTGAGAAGGTAGAGGCAGGCTGCTGGTGATGGCAGATGGGGAGCAAGAAGGCAAGGAAGGGTTCCTTCATCTGTTAACAGGAGAAATCTGTTTTTCAGCCACATTGTGAAGGGAGTATGTCTAACCAGTCAGGACAAGGGCCTTGAACTCCACAGACTTTGGTCTCTCTGAGCTTTGTAACAACCTAGAGGATCTGGAGGAATGGCCATTAAAAAATTGGAATATGTTAGTTTTCATTTTTCTGAATAAATAATAAACTGGTGCTTTCAGAAACATGATAGGAAGGGAATTGTAGTGATAATATGAATAAGAACAGAGTGTCCCAGCTCCAAAAATGTGGAGCTGTTCAGAGAAGAGAGAGGAGAGGAAGTGACATCATGTATTTGTTGGGATACAGTGAGTAATTGACATTCATTGTTGGTTAAGGTGTCCGAGACTCACATTCCTTCATGAACGAATTCTTCTGCAGATTACACCTCTTGCATCCAGAGCTGCTTGGTAAACATGAATAGCAGGAATCTCCGTTTACCCCGTTAGTAGCAATTGATTGTATTCTATTCTTTGTGCTAGGGCAAACAGAGACTGAAGTCGCTGTCTCTTCTCAAGGAAGTTGCAGTTTGCTGCTGTTTTTCTGTGAAGAGATTCTACTAGGGAAAAAGTGAACCATATTTTTAAAGAAAAGGCAAAATCACAATTTTTTTAAGTGAGAATATTTTCTTAAACAGTAGAGATATTAATAAAAATCAAATACAGCTTCAATATATGAACTAGTATTTGGCCAATAAAATGGGATGGAGCACTGAGACCAGGCATCCTCTGTGGAGATGGGGGTGGGGAATATGCAGTTGCTTTTCTCTCCTGTAGCTGAAGCGTGGGCACACCCACATGGAAAGTGGGTGTCTAGAAATGACTTTTGTCCAAAATTGTGACGTGATAGCTCAGGGACATTTCTAATCCCAGCCAAGGGGATATTTTCCAGCAGTATGACTTGGCCGTTTCCTCGTACAGTCAAGTGCAAATGGTTAGAATTGACAGAAATGCTAGGCCTGCTGACCATAAGGACTTGTCATTGTCCTACTTACTGCCCCTATGCCTAATGGGGCTGGGTAACTAACCTTGCCCGCTTGGGCACTCCTTTGGACCTTCCTCCCCAGCATCCAGATTGTTTGAGGTTGTTGCTGGTTCTCTGGTTAGTCTGACTCTAGTCATAGCTTTTCTTCGCCCGCCCACACCACATTTTAGAAAGGTGCCAAGGAAAGTAACGTCAAACATCTAGACCTTCAGATAGACTCCAGTGAGTGTGATTAGACTCCAATACACTCTCATGAAAGGGCTTGGGGGACTGCCCTCCCACCACCACCCATGGGACTCCATGCTGCAGGCATGTGTCCAGGCTGAGCATGCCCTGTTTCCATATAAACAGCAGCTTCTTTCTCAAATCCCATACAGCTGTTCCTCAAGAGTAGGCTTTTCAGCTCTTCATGAAGTCTCGGGTCATGTTTTTATATTAATCAATGATAATGTGGTGCTGTCAGATACGCACTGGACTGCTAACCTCAAGATCAGCAGTTCAAACCCACCAGCCACTCCTCGTAAACCCTATATAGGATCTCTAGAGTCAGAACAGACTCAACGACACTTAGCTACAGTGGAGTGCTGTAAAATTGAATGATGGCATTATTTATTGACATTTCTTAGGAAGATGTTAAAAGTTAAAAGCCTACAGAAATTTGAAACTACCAGCTGTTCCACAGGAGAAAGATGAGGCGTTCTGCTCCCATAAAGATTTAGAGCCTCAGAAACCCTGTACAGGGTCGCTATGAGTTGGAACCGACTCCACAGTACACCACCATCACCAGGCACTAAATAATCATTATACTATCTCTGATACTTATGAAGAACTTTAAAATTAAAATCTGTGTAAAATATAACAGCTCACTTTAGTCGTAATCCTGAATCAAGTATCCCCTTTTGCTCTGTGTTCACATCACAGCGACTGTGGAACAACTGCTTCTAGGTATGAAATCACTGAGAAGAATGTTTTGGCACCGAACATGGTCTTAGCTTTTACATAGACAGCATTGTGAGCGCTACAGTTCTTAACGGCTTTTTACTCAACCTAAGTTACTTCCCACATTTTGAATATGCCAATAAATTTAAAATATGTCATTTTGACCTTGAACTAAATCAAAGGAAACCTGGAAATGAAATTTTGTTTCTTCTACCTGGAAGCAGTTGCCACATCTAATTGACTAGAAGAATGGGGAGAAATCAGTAGTTTTGCATTTATCATTTTAAAATAAATGTCAGAGATAATTTACACCAGGAAATATGTTAAGCGAAAAGAGCTAGCTGTAAAAGTGTATTTATAAGATGATTCTAATTATTTGTTTAAAATTAGATTAGAAGAAAATACCTTATTTCTGTGTGACATTTAAATTTTTCATTCATATTTAATGAGAGTTTTCCATTGTCACTGTGAGGGAAAAAAAGTAACCTTTAAGCACACAGACATAAAATTGAAAAGCAAGGCAAGTTAGTAAAAAGCAAACTCTTAGACTTAATGAAACTTTTCTGTCCATTTTGTTAAGTGCCATCAAGTTAGTTCTGACTCTTAGCGACCTTGTATAGGGTTTCCAAGGAGCAGCTGGTGAGTTTGAACCGCCGACCTTGATGTCCAAACCAACCTTGCAATCCAGTGTTTATTCTACAGAGTCACACCAGGACTCCTTTTGGGCGTCTTTTATTTCCTCCCAGAATCCTTGTTGTTAAGCACCATCAAGTTGGTTCTAACTCATAGCAACCCTATACAGGGTTTCTGAGGATTCGCTGGTGGATTTGAACCACCGACCTTGTGGTTAGCAGCCTAGTTCTTATCCTACAGTGCCACACCAGAATCCTTATAGTGACCAAGCAGTCTTTCCCAGTGTTGCTCCATGTCTGTTGCTGTCTGTGTCTGCTGGCTTTCTTGGGTGAAAGTGATGCTATTGAGCTTGATACTGCTTACATTGCCCACCTCTGGGACATACCCTAACCAATCCATATCCCCTTACCCCTCCTGCTCACCCATAGTCATGTGACACCTGCCTCTTCAGAGCAAAGCTGAGCCACCAGGCTTATTTGATTCTCCATCCCAGCAGGCCTTTGTCCCCCTCTGCTGAACTAACCAGCAGTGCCTTCACTGCTCCATGCCTACGTTTGGTGCTCTCTCAGTAACTGTTCACATTGGCACCTGATGGTTTCCAAGGAGAGAGAGCAATTTATCGATTTGTGTTTTAACGTCTCTGAGATTTGAATAGACTCATACAATAAATGCCAGGAACTTGTCTTTCTTACTGGCACCAAAAAATAACAGTGTATTTTATAGTTGGAAACATGTTTGTAATATCATGGAATCAATTAAAAGGGTGTGGGTACATTTAAGAAAATAATATAGGAAGTTGGGGAGAGAAAAAGGTGACAAATTGCTAGAATGATGTTTTTGGTGTGTTAATAGATGGTTAATGGTTTTCTCTCTGAATACAGTGTCTGCTCTGCAGTGAAGAGAGGTGGTTTATTGCATTGTTTAGAGTCCAGGAGGTGGTCAGTATTCAGCTTAGCACTTCCTGCATGTACAGTGAAGTAAAGGGGAGAGTTAGACTTTTCAGGATATTAGTTAACCATTACCTCATATAGAAGGTAAATTGTTACTGTTGAATACTAGTTAAATAGCAAGTTCAGATTGCTGGCTCTTTGTATTCTCAGCCACACTTGAATATAATGAAGCACCTTCAGATGGGGTCTGCCTTATGTTAATGTAAAGAGAAAAATGGGAAAGAAAACCTCATAATTGATGGCCGAGTGGCTTTTGCACTGTGACTGTGGACAAGAGCTTCCACTGAGGCATGTGTGTGAGCGAGCCATTGACACTGAGGAGAAGGAGGCGCTAATGAGCACCTCTGTCCTCAAGCACCCATTTCTTGGACTTCACACAGATCCTGCGGTGGTTTTATAAACATACAAGGTTTGGGATTTCTCTAGCTATGTTATTTTCACTTGAAATCACTCTGTGCTCTGTCCATTAGCGTTGATATCATGTATGTGCTGCTGAGGGCCAGTCAGGAGCTCCAGGCCAGGGCTCAGAGGATGTTGGTCTTGCTGGCATGCTGTGTCCATATTCGTCTTACTCATCCCCTCTGTCCGGTCTCTGTGCCCACAGCGAAGCCGCCGCCCATGCTGTCGCCACCCTGGCCGAGGCCACCTTACAAGGGGGCGGTCAGATCGTCCTGTCTGGGGAAACCGCAGCAGCCGTCGGAGCACTTACTGGCGTCCAAGATGCTAATGGTAAGAAAGCATGAATATTTTATTGAATTTCTTCCCTGTTTCCACTTAGACCTTCATGACATGACTGACAACAAACCCTTCAGAACGAGCTTGGTCTTTGATTTGAGTTTTCCTTCATTGGAAGTTTAGGAGCCTGATCCCTTTCACTAGCAGACTGGGGGTTCCAATGACGGTGGCTACCTAGTTGAATGGTTGGTTTGAAAAGTGACTGTTTTGCTATAACAGGACTTGCTGAGGGTCACATTTTGCCCTTTCCTCTCCCATGGGTGACGTCATCACCCTTTACTGGGGCCGAGAGTCCCACAGGGGCAAGTATGTCCTGCTAGAGTGGGCAGTTCTGACTATCTCAGGAAAGAAGGCAGCATGTCCTCTGTCCACGGGGCCCACAGCTGTCTGTCAGAAAGGCATGTGCTGGTGGGTCCTGCGGGTCCTGTACCCAGTTGTGTGTGTCCTCACCACTAGCGTGTCACCACCTGCCCTTCTCTCCCAGCTCTTTGACGTCCTGGATGCTGGTGACGATCCTGAATCCACAAAAGGGATTAAATAAAGTTCATAGAAATATGTTGGCGAAAATGTGCAGGTGCAGCCCAGCTCTTTGGCTGTACCTCAGTAGGCACTAGGAGTCAGTTACTAAGATAGGGGTTACCGGGGTAGGGGCCCAGTCTGTTCTGTGAGAGTCTTTATCTAAATATATATTTAATTAAGTAGGACAAATGAAGTACTCTATGATTTTTGGTAATTTGAACAATTCCTAGAAAGAGGAGAGTAGCTAAATAATATACTTTTAATTAAGCAGAAAGTTCCTTAATGGCATGAGTGGCTGAAAGAAAAACGTCCCTGGCACTTCTTTAAGGAACAGTCTCTAAGAGCTGAATAAGCTGTTAGTCGGAAAGTCTTTGAAGAGATACATAATGCTGTGGCCTCCTTTGGAAGCAGGAGACAGACAGCACTATGTCCCCAGAAAATAACAAAAGGAACTATGAAAAGCCATATGGCTTCTGAGAATCATTTCCCAAATAAACTTTAAAAATAAAATACTTAACCTCCAGCTTGCTTTTTCTGTAGAGAAAGATGAGATTTTCTTCTCCCACAAAGATTTATAGCCTCAGAAACCCTACACAGGGTGGCTTTGAGTTGGGACCCAACTGTATGACACTTAATAACGACAACAATGACAACAGGGCTTCTGTGAACCAATACAAATAGAGAGATGATGGGATCCAGAATCCCACAGGATAAAGGACTGCTAATAGCCACGCCCCTTTGGAATGAGATGGACTATAGAGTGAATGAAAAACCCCTCCTCCCCCAAAAGCTAAATCTTACTCCTATTTCCTCACCTGAGTCCTAATCCACCCAGAGTGAAAGTAGAATTTTTGGCTGTGCTCTGAGTGTGTTCACTGTATTCACTGTGGAACTGCTATAAACACTGCCCTGTGTAGGCTTGCTAAAAAACACTATCGTGACCTGTGTGGAAGAGAACAGATGGCTTTATAGTTGTGGCTCCTCTCCAGCCTTGCCTTTACAGATGGATGGATTTATAAGCGAACGACCCTCTGGGTCTTTGGCCCAGTAAACCTGTTCAGCCCTTGGATAAAGTTAAACCGCACCCGCTACTGCTGATCCCTAGATTCTGCCTCGTTTCAACAGCCTTGGGTGGGAGATCATTTTGTGTTGGTTTCATGTTGTTGGCTGCAATTGTAATATAGAGGAAATTCTGGTCCACATCCTAAAAGCCAGCAGTTCTCCAGAGCAGGCCATCCCAGTGTATGGCTTCCAACCCTTGCTGAGTTCTGGCCGTGAATACTGGGGCTAGCACTTTCTAAGTCAGCCTTTCCACACCAAGGTGCATCTTGAAGTTGAGCTTTATCCCAGCGCAGTGTTAGGCAAAGGCCAACTGTTGTATCTGCTCCTTGGGAACCTGGAGAATGTATATAAGGTAGTATGTGATCCAAATAATTCTGATATGCCTTTTTTTTTTTAATGTTTTATTGTGAATTATATGATAGTTTACATGGGAGAACATTAGCTTTACATTCATCCTATCTCATATTATTTCATTGCCATGGTTACAATCCCCTCCCTGCACCATCAACCAACCAAAGGGTATACCCTGCAAGCCTTCCCCCTGGTTGTCAGCACACAGCTTCTCTCCCTCTCTAAGTCTAGAGTCCCCAGCCGTTCCCTCTCTCCAGGTCATCGTCTCTGCCTCCATCTCTGGCATCACTACTTATCTGGGTCAGAGTCCCGCATTCCGCTCTTCTCCCCTGATGGCTCCAGGGACCTCTGCTCCTGGACTGCAAAGTCAACCACTCCCCTCGTTATGCTACAAAATGTCTACCTTTACATTTCCAACCCTCACAGTTAGTTCTGATAGCGATTATTCACTATTGTGCCACATGAGAGCCATCTCCATCTCCTTTCATCACCCCCGCCCAGACAGATTAGATACTACTCCGTGGAGATTCTGCCTTCCGCTGCGCCCTCTGGATGTAGGCTCCCTCTTGAAAGCTTGTAAGCCAGTCACTTCTTGCCTTTGTAGCCCCCCATTTTGGGTAATCAGTGTCCAACTTGCCCATCCCTGTCTGCCCTGTGTATGGAGGGATTGGGAATGATCCTCGCTGTAAAGATTTATTTCCTCTTTTGAGCTACTGCATCCATAGGTGTAGGTTAAGTTCATTAAATTGTATCAGATTCCTCTTTTATTTCTTCTTCTTTGTTCTTCTAGTTGAATTCTGACTGATCATCCAGTCATTGAAGCCAGGTCAAGTGGGTATTAACTGCAAGTGTGGATATTCTTATGCATATGCCCTCTCTTCTTACCAGCTGGATGCTTCACTCTCCACTCTAGTCCTCTGTGGCTATGTCACTGACTCTAGGTCCAAGAGTCCCCAGGTCTTGCTACACTGCTGGTCAACCAGGTCTCCACCTGGGTTCACAGGCGTCTATTGACCATGGTAGGGCTTAGCTCGCAGCGTCATTGCTGATTTTCCCTTACTTCCCCTTATCGGTGCTGATACGCCTTTTGTCTTTCAACACATTTACCCAGCATGCTGTAGGACATACTCAGGGACTTGAACCAAATTTGTTTCGTGTAACCAGCAGATTTGGGATCTGGCTAGACACGGAAGGGATCTCTTTTCATCGTTCTTTCAGACCTTGTCCTGTGGCCAAGGTTTGTCTCTTCAGTGATGACAAGCGTATGGTGTCTGCCACCAGACAGATTTACTGGCAGGAAGAACCAGGCAGTAGTAGGACAAGTGCTGTTTGTGGGCATCAAACTCTAACTGGGGGGAAGAATGCATCCTGAATTTCAGAGTGTGGTTTCAAGGCGCGTCTTGTAGGCGAATGGCTCATTTCAGAGCATTTTGGGGATTGTTCAAGTCTGAAGCCGAGAGGTTTCTGTGTCCTCTGTGCTGGTTCCACAGGGAATGGAGCGCCACCAGGTATGGGCCTCCGTCAAATACAATAGCCAGTGGGAAGTGTCGGGACAGCATGTAAGAGTACGAGACAGTTGCCTATAGGGTAGTGTGTTTCAAGTGAAAATACTGACCTGTGTACCGAGGCAGACCTGGCAGAGACCTTGTACCTTGAAGGATCATTCCTCTACCACCACCACCTCGGCAATACCTACCCATCCCCAACACTTGATTTGTTCATGTTTATTTCATTCTTTTTTAAAAGAGAGATGATTGACTCTTTAGTTTGTTAGGATGGAGTTTCAGTTTGGTTTAATGTAAAGATTTGTACAAGTACCTTTTCACTGAGATGCAAATCAGGGCCCTTCCTTTGCCTCTACCTTTTTCACAGTTTTCCCTCTGCTTTGTTTCCCCGCTCACCTTCACATGTAGCTCCTGCTTCAAGCCTACTCCTCTCCCTTGACTCTGCCATCTTTTGTGTTGGGCACAGGACCGGAAGGCTTGCCCTGGCATCATTCAAAGAGCAGGTTCCTCACCAGAGCTCTGCTCTCTCTGCTTGAGCAGGAATCACGAAGATAAGACCATCTCAGCTACGTGCCCCTGTCTTAGATCTTATGCAGACTCATATCGCTGTCTTTCATTAATGTCTAGGCAGAGAACAACAAGAGAGACAACTGCAGCCGCAGGTCTTCAGAATAGGTCGTGGAGCCATGTGCTAGGGCTGTTGTGCCATCAGACTCATGACCCAGAGGGTTTCCCAGGCTGTAAATCTTGACAAAAGCATACTGCTACATCTTTTTCCCAGGAGTGACTGGTGGGTTCCAGCTGCTGACCCTTTGGTTAGCAGCCTTATGCTTGAACCCCTGTACCCCAAGTGCTCTTTAGCATTTATCAGTGCTTCTCCAAAGTATCAGCATTCCTAACTGGCTGATGTGTCCCTAATGATACCTCAGGCAATGGATTCTTTTTTAATTGTTGTGACACCTGACAAGTCTACCTGCATATCCGACCACAGCACTGGGGAGAACCTGCTTCCTCTTCATATGTGAATGTTGCAAATCGGTTTTCCCAGTTTATTCTTTCGCTTCTGCTTTTTTCATTTGTATGATGTACTTTAATTATCTTTTGCTTCCATGCTTACAAAGGCCTTTTCTGTCCTCAAAATCAGATAATCAACTAGCTGGGTTTCTCCAAGCTCTTTTAAATGGCCTTGTTTTTAATTTGACTGTTTTTCAATATCTGGGTGGTACTAGGTAGTGATTTAGATTGATTTTTTTGTTGCTCCAGCACCATTTTTGACAGAGAAATGGTGAAATCCATCCCTTCTGCGCTGGTTGCAGCTGGTGGGTCCCAACTGATGACTGTAATACGGATGCTGTGGGGGTGTCTGAGGCTCCCTGTCAGTCAGCCCTGCCCTCTGTGCGCACACACACACACACACACACACACACACACACACACACGGGGAGACCACAGGTCCTTGTGTTTCTGTAGTTGCAGAATTCACAGCATCACTCATCAGCTGACTGTCAAACCAAAGGACCTTCAGTGAGCAGACCTCTGTGTAACTATGCAACCAGT